GCTCAAGACGGCTCCAAGACAGCCCCAAGAGGGTGGCAACACGGCCCCTGCTGGGCCCAGGACGGCCCAAGGAGGCGCACAGGAGGGGCCCAACACGACTCCAAGGCGGCCCCCTCACGGTCCCAGACGGCTCCAAGACAGCCCCACGAGGACCCCGATGGGCCCAGGACGGCCTACGGACGCGCCCATGAGGGGCCCACGACGAACCAAGACGGCCCCATCAGGGCGAACGGCGCCCTCAAGACGGGCCTAGACGGCTCCAAGACGGCCCTTTGAGGGAGCCAACGCGGCCCCACACCCTTCGGGCGCACACTTGGGGGGGCTGGGAGCTTGCGACCAGTCTCCCACATTCATTGTCCTGCCCCATTCTGTTCGCCTGGAGGCCTCCTCCAACCCTGTGGGCGAACAAGAGGAATCCCAGCGGGACGCCAACCCTGGGGCCCGTGGGCCCCGCGCCGCTTGGGCAGAAGACAAACGCCGGGTCTGACAGGCCAGCTACCGCCCCCCTTTGCCCGATATGCTGTGCCATTCTGTTCCCCCAGGGGCCTTGGCAAACTCTTCGGGCCAAGCAGACCGGACCCCTGGGACAGCAGCCAATTGATATGACCCTGGGACCTCTCCGCATTCTTCGGACGAGCACCTGGGGGGCCCAGGAGATTCGGACAAGTATTCCCCATTCCTTGCCCTGTCCCGTTCTGTTCGCCCGAAGGCCTCCACAGACCCTCTGTACGAACAGAATGGGACATGGCGAACAAACCCTCCCGTTGGCGGTGATGCGACTGGATCGCACCATCAAGGCGCGCCCGGAGGTGATGGCCGACCCAACAGCGGTTTCTCTAAAGATTTTACAGAATTTTCAAATTTTCTTGAAGCTCTCTTGGGCCCTCCCTGTAGATCCTTGCGAGCCTCCCCGGCGCTTTCGGTGGCTTTCCCCGATGGTCTCCCGAGCCCTTCCCCAAGGCTCCTGAGACGCCTCAGATGGGCTTCGACTTCGACGCACATCCCCGAGAGACTTCGAAACTATCCTCAATAGGAGGGGGGTGAACGAGCAGTGCGCTGGGCCAAGCTGCTGGAGCGCTGCAAGAGCTCGGACACAAAGGCGCGGTCTCGCTGCCGCCGCCCGAACCGCCGCCGTGTTTGTAGATTTTCGGTACAATCTGCGCCGTTCCTCCGAGACCATTCCAGAAAGATGTCGTGGACGGAGGCCACGGGTCAGCCCTAGTCTATACTATATGGCCGGAGGAACCGCGTGCCGGAAGGAAAAAGGGCCAAATGCCGGTAAACGGCTCCGAGACGCTCCGGAGGCCGCCCCGACGGCCCAAGGACGGCTCCGAGCCGCTCAAAGACGGCTCCGACCCGCTCAAGATGCCCCGAAGGCGGCCCAAGAGGGCCCCGAGACGCGCAATGATCTGGCCAAGACGCCCGAGATTGGCCCAAGACGGCCCAAGAGCTCCCCAAGACGGACCAACAGGCCTCCCAAGAGAGCCCCGAGAGGCCAAAATCGTTGATTGTCATTTATTTTTCCGAGGTTTTTTGCTTCCGGCTTCCCGACGCTCCGAAACCCCCTCAGAGGCATCCAAGACCGCTCCAAGACGGTCCACGAGGTCCCCAAGAGGACCCCAAAACGGTCCAAGAGGGCCCCAAGACGGTCCAAGGCGGCCCCAGGACGGCCCCAGAGGCGCCCAAGACAGGCCAACGGGACCCCAAGATGGCCCGAAGAGCGGCCCAAGATGGCTCCAAGACGGCCCGAGGACCGCCCAAGAAGGCCCTAGGGGGCCCCAAGACAGCCCAAGGGGCGCGATAGACGAGCCCAGAGAGGCCCAAGAGGCCCCCAGGAGCCCAAAAGAGGTCCCCAAGAGGTGCCACGGGGGCAGACGAGGGGACCGCCTCAGGAGGGAGGTTTTGGACGGTTTTGGGCCTCAAAATCATCCGCTTTACGACGGTTTTGGAAGGATTTGGGCCTTCTCGCTTTTTCCGCTTTCCGACGCTCGAAGACGGCCCAAGAGGCCTCCAAGAGCGCCCCAGAACGGCCCAAGAGGGTTCCAAGAGCGCCCCAAGACAGCCCAAGAGGGCCCCAAGACGACCCAAGAGACGCTCAAGACGGCCCACGAGGGCCCGAAGACAGGCCCAAGAGGGGGCCAAGAGGGGGACCACGGACCGAAAATCCTAGCATTCCGCCCCAAGAGGGCGCCAGGAGGCCCAAACAGGCCCCCAAGAGGCCCCAAGGGGCCGCCAAGAATCCCCCAAAGAGGCCCCAGGAGCCCAGACGAGGCCCCAACAGAGGCCCCAACAGCTTCCAAAATAGCCCCAAAGAGGCCTCGAGCCCGCCTCCGAGCTTCCTCGCCGCGAGGGTGCCAACACGGCCCCAGACGGGCCCAGGACGGCCCAAGGCGCGCTCAAGACGGCCCAAGACGATTCCAAGACGGTCCCAGGAGGGTGCGCCCAGGACGGCCCAAGGACGCGCCCGTTCGGGGCCTCAAGACGGGCCACGATGGCAAGAGAGTCCCAGCTGGCAAAAATCGTTAATTTTCCATTGTTTACTGTTACACCCTTTGCGTTTCCCGCCGTTTCGGCGGTCCGATGCACCAAGAGGCCCCAGAAAGTCCCAGGAGGGTCCGAGGAACCGCCCAGGAAGGCCCCAAGACGGGCCAAGACGGACCCAGCACAACCCAAGGCGCGCTGCAACGGCTCAAGACGGCTCCAAGACAGCCCCAAGAGGGTGCCAACACGGCCCCTGCTGGGCCCAGGACGGCCCAAGGAGGCGCACAGGAGGGGCCCAAGACGACTCCAAGGCGGCCCCCTCACGGTCCCAGACGGCTCCAAGACAGCCCACGATGACCCCGATGGGCCCAGGACAGCCTACGGACGGCCCATGAGGGGCCCACGACGAACCAAGACGGCCCCATAACGGCACACGGTGCCCTCAAGACGGGCTTGGACGGCTCCAAGACGGCCTTTTGAGGGAGCCAACGCGGCCCCACACCCTTCGGGCGCACACTTGGGGGGGCTGGGAGCTTGCGACAAGTCTCCCACATTCATTGTCCTGCCCCATTCTGTTCGCCTGGAGGCCTCCTCCAACCCTGTGGGCGAACAATAGGAATCCCAGCGGGACGCCAACCCTGGGGCCCGTGGGCCCCGCGCCGCTTGGGCAGAAGACGAACGCCGGGTCTGACAGGCCAGCTACCGCCCTCCTTTGCCCGATATGCTGTGCCATTCTGTTCCCCCAGGGGCCTTGGCAAACTCTTCGGGCCAAGCAGACCGGACCCCTGGGACAGCAGCCAATTGATATGACCTTGGGACCTCTCCGCATTCTTCGGACGAGCATCTGGGGGGCCCAGGAGATTCGGACATGTCTTCCCCATTCCTTGCCCTGTCCCGTTCTGTTCGCCCGAGGGCCTCCACAGAACAGTTTGATGCTAGGTACCCCCGAAATACATATAGGCGTAACAGCTGCTGTTCGTTGACATGGCGAACAAAACCCTCCCCGTTGGCGGTGATGCGACTGGATCGCACCATCAAGGCCGGCGCCCGGGAGGTGATTGGCCGCCCAACAGCGCTTTCTCAAAGAAATTTAAGAATAAAAAAAAAAAAAAAAAAAAAAAAAAGAAAAAAAAAAAAGTCAAAAAAAAAAAAAGAAAAAAAAAAACAAAAAAAAGATTTTACAGAATTTTCAAATTTTCTTGAAGCTCTCTTGGGCCCTCCCTGTAGATCCTTGCGAGCCTCCCCGGCGCTTTCGGTGGCTTTCCCCGATGGCCTCCCGAGCCCTTCCCCGAGCGCTCCCGAGACGCCTCAGATGGGCTTCGATTTCGACGCACATCCCCGAGAGACTTCGAAACTGTCCTCAATAGGAGGGGGGTGAACGAGCAGTGCGCTGGGCCAAGCTGCTGGAGCGCTGCAAGAGCTCGGGCACGAAGGCGCGGTCTCGCTGCCGCCGCCCGAGCCGCCGCCGTGTTTGTACATTTTCGGTACAATCTGCGCCGTTCTTCCGAGAACCATTCCAGAAAGATGTCGTGGACGGAGTCCACGGGTCAGCCCTAGTCAGCTACAGCGGTGGGATCAGCGCGTGCGAGAAGGGCGGGCAGTGGCAGCGGGCCCTGGCGCTGCTGAGCGAGATGCGGGAGGCGAAGCTGGAGCCCAACGGCGTCAGCTACAGCGCTGGGATCAGCGCGTGCGAGAAGGGCGAGCAGTGGCAACGGGCGCTGGCGCTGCTGAGCGAAATGCGGGAGGCGAAGCTGGAGCCCGACGTCGTCAGCAACAATGCCGCGATCAGTGCGTGCGAGAAGAGCGGGCAGTGGCAGCGGGCAATGGCGCTGCTCAGCGAGATGAGGGAGGCGAAGCTGGAACCCGACGTCATCAGCTGCAACGCTGGGATCGGCGCTTGCGAAAAGGGAGGGCAGTGGCAGCGGGCAGTGGCGCTGCTCAGCGAGATGAGGGAGGCGAAGCTGGAACCCGACGCCATCGGTTACTGCGCCGGGATTAGCGCCTGCCAGAAAAGCGGGCAGTGGCAGCGGGCCCTGGCGTTGCTCGACGAGATGCGGGAGATGAAGGTGTTGCCAGACGCCATCAGCTACAGGCTCGCAGTCAATGCGTGCGAGAAGGGCGGACAGTGGCAGCAAGCTCTCTTCATGCTCAGGAGCATGTGCTTGAGAAGGCTCGATGCTGACTTTATTGCCTACGGGATTACAGCTGGCATGTGCGAGCAGGGCGGACACTGGAGGCAGGTGCTGTCATTACACATGGAGGTGCGCGGCTTGCTCGCAATGGAATGATGCAATGTGTGCTACAGTGTGTTCTCAAGGCGCGCCGCATAAAGCAAAGCCTCTCAGCTGTAATGCTCGGATCAGCGAGTGCGACATCGGCGGGCAATGGCAGCGGGCTTTGGCGCTGCTGGGCAAGGGGTCGGAGGCGACGCCCGAACTCGACGACGTCATATGCACTACAGTTCCCTGCGAAGCGCGTGCGAGGTTGGAAAAAAAATGCTCCCTGGCCTGCAACTCAAGATGATGTTCCTGAAGCTCGGGAGCGCGAAGTGCTTGCTGTGCCAGCTGCTGCCTCGCATTCGCAAGGGCGTTCGAAGGGGCGTTCGCAGCCTTTTGGGCCTCGGCCTCGAGCTGGCCGTGCTCCGCCACGGCTTCGCTGGACACGGCAAAGGGGTCGCCACGCTGCACTGCCCGCGGAGCCTGCAGACGCACGCGAGCGCTGCTGGGCTGGCAGGTGGGCGGCGACGGCAGCGAAGCGGTCGTCGCCCATGGAGAAGGAGGAGGGGGAGGAGGAGGAGGAGGAGGAGGAGGAGAAGGAGGAGATGGCGGCGGAGGAGGAGGAGGAGGAGGAGGAGGAAGAGGAGGAGGAGGAGGAGGAGAAGGAGGAGGGGGAAGAGGAGGAGGAGGAGGAGGAGGAGCTCAGAGAGTGGGGGGTTGACGTCCCTTTGGAGTGCACGTATTGCGGTGAACCCGATACTGTGCACCATAGAATCTGGAAGTGCCCTCACGGAGCGCAGTGCCGAAACGTCCACCTGGAGGGTGTCACGGAGACAGCGCTCGGAGAGGGGGAGGATCATCCGTTTTATAAGTTTTTCTGGTTTTTGAAACCTGATGTTGATTCGCCAGAGCAGGGGTGGACCGTCACTTATAGAGATGCTGACGGCAATGGAGACCCCTTCTCCTTCGACCCCTCGCTCCCTATTTATCTTGATGGCTCGTGCCTCCACCCAAGGTTCGACATCTTGGCGAGAGCCGGCATAGCAGCCGTCCAGATAGACGGTGAGGGGAATTTCATCAGGGGGTTGTTTGCTCCCCTCCCTAACCTATTCCCCCAACAAGCCGTCCATGCGGAGCATGCTGCGTTTGTTATTGCTGCCAGGCACGTCGAAATGAGCACGAACCCCAGTTTCGTGGTTGATTGCCAGGCGGTGCTGAGGGGAATGACGGTTCCCAAAGCTGCCCTGTCTGGCAAAAGCTTGTATAGCCGCTCCTGGAGAGATGTTGCTCACCACACTGACGCTGGCGATCTTAAAATTGCCAAGGTCAAAGCTCACAGATCCGTCGATGAGGCCACTGACGAACTAGATCGAATTCGAATCCTGGGCAACAGGTTCGCCGACAGAATGGCCAACGAAGGTGCCCAGGCTCACGATCTTCCCCAGGACGTCGTGGATGAACACATCCACAGTCTGGAGGCCTACCAGTCCATCTTAGAGGGTGCTGCCAAAGTTCTGGCCGAATGGCCTCCGACCCGCGAGCTGTTAGGGGTCCTTCGGCGTGCCCCTAAACAGCGAAAGCCTCGCCCGTTCGTGGTCAGTCACCAACCCGTTTGGCAAGGTACCCATGCTCGTTGCTTCAAATGTTTGAGGAAAGTCAACCCCAGCTCTAAAACGAGCTGCGCCGAAACGTCTCAGCTCTTCAGAGACATCATTGTTCGTGCTCCTGCCTTGCACCACTCCCTTGTCATTTCATGGGTCGAGGGTAGCAGGATGCCAATTGTGTACTGCACGATTTGCGGTGGTTTCAGCATGGGCGGAGGGGCGAAGCTGTCAAGTCCTTGTTCTGCCCCCCGCTTCCCCACTTCCGAGTTACGAAAGCTACGGAAAGGGGAGGTGCCTGGCACCCAACTTAAGTTTGGGAAGGTGGCCCCGATTGCCTTTTGCGGGTCCCGTCAGGCTTAATTTAACCCCGATAAGTTGGCTTTGTGTTTGCACGACCAGTTTCGCAGAGTCCTGAGTCCTGAGGAGGAGGAGGAGGAGGAGGAGGAGGAGGAGGAGGAGGAGAGGAAAGCTTGCTGCTGAGAACCATCGAGCTGATTAGCAGCAGCAGCAGCAGCAGCGACAGCGCTCTGGTTGGCGAGGCGCCTGCTCGCGGGGCGCGGCCAGTGGGGGCGCACCACGGCAGCAACACGTCTTGCGCCAGACGGGGCTGTCCGCGAACTTGCACCTTTTGACGCCACACGTCCGCGTCGGTTGGCTCCCAGGCTGGCGCGTCGAGCCGTGACGCTGGGCGGGAGGCACGGGGCGCTTCTCGCACGCAGACAGGAGCTCCGATGGGAGCAGGAAGAGTTCCCGGCAGTGGTGTGAAGCAAGGCGTTTAGGCGCCCCCTCGATGTATGTCGCACACAGCGGAAACCTAAGATTAAAGCCCTCACGATTTACCGGTAGGGTTTCAGCCTTGAGCCAAATGGCTACTGACCTACTCCTCCTCCTCCTCCTCCTCCTCCTCCTCCTCCACCTCCCCCTCCACCTCCCCCTCCTCCTCATCCTCCTCCTCCTCCCTCCCCCTCCCCCCTGTGGGTGTATCAAAAGACATCTTCGCACCCCAGGACCTCAAGGAGGAAGCACGATGCGCGCCAGAAAACAACAACGCCCCAGAAAGACATGCGAAGCGAGCTTATCTTCACGCCATCGATGGCGGCCCCAAGGGCGGCATGCAACAGGCTAGTCAACGGAGCGTAGGTATCCAGAGCGAGACGGTGTGGTTGTTGCTGCTTACGCGAGGTAAGCGAGCTAGCTGTCATAAGTCCTGTGGCTACCCTGGCCTTTGGTGTGGCCCTTCACATAGGAGTAGGTCTCGCAGTGGCCGCAGGAGTCAAACAACTCACGCTTGCCCTTGCATGTGCCCTTGCCTCTGCCTCTCAGTTCCACGGCCCGCCTGTTGGCGCCCTGGGCGTAGTAGACCTCGCTACAGCGCTGGTCGACCTCGGCGACGCATGACCCCACGGAGTCGTCGCTTACCAGATCATAGCACTCAACCGCATATGTGTTGTCCTCCTCGCTATTTTCCTCATGCTCCACGTTGCTCTCGTCGTCCTCGTCGTCGCACTCGTCTTCCCCCTGTCGTCGTAGCAGTTCTGCGGCGGAGAAAGGCTTGGGCCGCTGGCCCAAAGGTACCCCGTCCTTGTGCGCCTCGTAGTGGTCGCGGGCGGACAAGAGCGCCTTGATGGCTTTTTTCTTTCTTTCTAGCTCATGGGGACCAGGTCCGAAGGAGAGCACTGGCAACGCAGAATCAAAGCGAAATGCGAAGCACTCTTAGCGGCCCACGGGGTTGTTCCCTGAGGAGGCTTAACCTACGAAGCCGACGTATACCGCGAAAAGGTACGATCCACACTCGGCCAGATGCCGCACGGACCCCGCCAGCACAAGCCCGATGCACGCAGCACCCCGAAGGCCCAGCGGGCCTCAGGTGCGCGGACCTTTGCCTTTGCTGGGACCTTTGCCCCTCGAGCGGCCACGTTTCCCCTTACCCCCTCCCCGCGGCCTCCTCCTCCTCCTCCTCTTCCTCCTCCTCTTCCTCCTCCTCCTCCTCCTCCTCCTCCTCCTCCGCCCTCCTCCTCCTCCTCGTCCACCTCCTCCTCCTCCTCCTCCTCCTCCTCCTCCTCTTCCCCCTTACCCCTTACCCCCTCCCCGCGGCCTCCTAGGGATATTTCCTGTCGGAGGACCGTCCGAAAAAAAAATCGGGGATCGGGAACTGCCTGCTGCGCACATTCGGACTTGGAGTAGGAGGAGGGGGGCCGAAGACGAGGACGGAGGAGCAGGAAAAGCAGGGGAGGAGAACAAAACCTCCTGACCTCAGCTCAGCCAAGCGCGAGCTCGCCTGTAAAACTCTCGGGAGCCCTTCTACTTCTTCGTGCGCTCGTCCACGCACTTTCTGAGGACCCTCTCGAGCGGGCCGCGTGGTGGGGCGCCCACCAGCCTCTTGCCGCCCTCGAACTCCACGATCTTGATTAGCCACTGCTGCACGACCGTGCCGTGCTGGTGGCGCGGGTCCACGTACCACATCAACGTGCACTTCGGCGTCGTGCCCTCTTCCTTTTTGTGCAACTTCACCCTGAAGTGCGTAATCAGCTGGCCGACTGCGTTCGGGCCATCGCACTTGCTCAGCACCTCGTTGAAGAACTCGAGCATCTCCGTGCTCAGCTTGGCCTCCTCTGTTTGCGTGGTCCCTGCCGTCGCCGTCCGCGTTGCTCCGTAGCCGAAGGCTGCCATGAATATCTGAACGTGTGCAGCGCCCCTTGCCTTGTGATCCTGCTTCTCGCCTGCCTTTTCCTTTGCTTTGAGGGCCGCCGAGTCGTCGTTGTACTTCTTGCCAGCTTGTTGGCTGATCGCCACCACCCCCACTGCCACTGGCAGTTCGTACCTCGTGTACAGCAGGGCGCCGAGGTCGGCGATGTCCTTCGTGTTGGTCAGCACCAGCTTCACCACGGGCAGCAAAATGTCGTCCTTGCCGCCTTTGAACTTCTTCTTGTCCCTTCCCACCGCTTCGTCCTGCTGGTCTTCTGGCTTGGAGACGCCGCCAGCGGTGATGGACTGGCTGAACCACGACGGCATGACGAGCTTCGGCTCCTGCTCCATTCCCTCGGGCATATCTGCTCGCAGGCTGACTCTCTGGGGTCGGTCCAATGCTTCCTGGCGAATGGTTCGACAAGAGATGGCTGCAGAGATCCTCAAGAGTGCCGCATTCATATTCACAGCATAAGCATTTCAACGACCTAGGCGTTTTGAGAGGAAGTAGGGTACGAGCTGGTTCTCTCTGGCAGCATCCACGTTTAAGTGCGCGTGATAAGTGCTGTGCGGCCGTTCTTTGTGTAGCGAATGTTTGACGACAGCTGGTACACGTATTCGTCGGTGTGATAAGGTTACGAACATGATGTGCCGACTTTATGTGTGATAGGTACGCAGGCCTCGTAAAGAGATTGGCTTCGCATTCAACTCCATGTTTGCTGTGCCTGCATGTGAGGACTTCCGGCGGGTCTCGCTCTGGTGGCGGAACAACAACCGACGGAGCAAGCTCTTGAAATCCAGGAGGCGGGATCCGCCTGCCGAACTCTCGGCTCCTCAGCTCCGCGAAATCAATCATACAGAAATCCTCCATCGCTTCCTTGTCGGCGAAGAGGGCTAAATTCAAAGCGATCGGCTCGATCCTGCAGTCTGGCAGTAACTCTACTGCTTGGCTCAAGTCTGCGGCCATTTGCTGCAGCCACGGCGAGGCATATTGGGATGGACGTCCTGCTACAATCTGAGGCCTGGTGTCAAAATCAAACTTCCCAAAAAGAGCGACAAGCACCTGGGTATGATGTTCAGGACGTCGACCCCAAGTCTGATAAAGCTTAAGACGCCTAATCCTCATCTCCTGGCTACAGGGTAATATTTTCCAGAACCACAGGATTT